ATATACACATATATCAGCATCCCCCTCTGACACGTGGCAGTGGCTGTGCGTCGGGGTGGGGTAGATTTACACGGGTCGCGCCGTACTTCTTGAACTTCGCGATCCACTCGGCGTCCCTGCCCTTGGAGTAGTTCTTGTACTCATCCTTGACATCCTGCTTGGCCTTGGCCATGGCCGTCCTCGAAAAGGAAAAATCTAGGGGGGGCGACGAGGAAAGGGATTAGAGGTATGGGGTTCGTCGATGGGCCCTGGGTTAATGGGCTCGGAGCGCGCCAGGATGGCCGTGAATTCTGGGTATGTGCACAATTACACATGTTCCTGCCGCGAGCCGTCCTGAATCGTTGCATCAAGTTTTCGTGATCAGCGTTGGCCTTGCGTTTCAGAGCCTTGTCCCGCTTGAGAGTCTCGGGGTCGGCCTTCGGTTTCTTGGCGCCAGGCTTGCCCTTCGGCGGCATTGCGTCGCCTCCCGATCTCCATCGGGCCTACAGATAGAGCCCCCTGGTCCACGGAATGAATGCGCTGCGCACCGGAACGACCTGCGGCAAACACGGGGACGGGGTCGAGATAGTTCCGATGTCTCCACAAGAAGCGCGGTCGGCAGAGGGCCAGCAATTCACCGTGCTGCAATATCCAGATCATTGTTGTGGCATGCGTGCACACGCGCGCGCATGGGCGCGCGCGCGTGCGCGTGTCTACACGTACATATCACACACATAGATATCGTTACACACATGCATAGATATCGTACGCGTGCACGCTGCCTTACAAATGCGCATGGTATATATATATATATACACACATACATACATATATCATGTACATATACAAATATGCAACACGCACATCACACACGCGCAGGCGCAATGCGGCGCGAGGTCGGCGCGCGGTTCTCGCCTCGCGCGGTTGCGCGCGTGGACGCGCGCGCGCGTGCGCCACGCACCCTTTTTCCTCGTGCGCAATATCCAGATCGGGTGCGAGATCCCATTTCGCCTGCAAGCCTCGTCGCCAGGCGGAATTCCAAGGCGCGCGCCCCCGCCGATCGGCGCGGGCAGCGCAAGCGCCGCGCCCCGTCGGGCACGGCGCGTCGTCGCCCCCCCAAAAGACGGGGTTGCGCGCCCCTTAGGGCGCGGGCGAAAACTGGAACATTACGGAACATTACGGAACATTACGAGAACCTTACGGGAACATAAGAACATTACGGGACATTACGGGACATTACGGGAACATTACGGGAACATTACGGGAACATTACGGGAACAGTACGGGAACATTAAAACATTACGGAACATTACGGAACATTACGGGAACATTACGGGAACATTAGAACATTACGGAACATGGAACATTACGGAACATTACGGAACATTACGGGAACATTACGGGAACATTACGGGAACATCACGGGAACATGAGAACATTACGGAACATTACGGAACATTTACGGAACATTACGGGAACATTAGAACATTACGGAACATTACGGGAACCTTACGGGAACATTAGAACATTACGGAACATGGAACATTACGGAACATTACGGGAACATTACGGGAACATTGCGGGAAAATTGGAACATTACGGAACATTACAGAACATTACGGGGACATTACGGGAACATTACGGAAGCATGAGAACATTACGGAACACTACGGAACATTACGGGAACATTACGGGAACATTATCTCGGGGCGCACGTCCGCGGCGCCCAAAGTCCGTCGCCGCCCCCCCCATGAGCCTTTGGGGCGCACCCGCGGGCCCCGACGGTGTCCGCGCGGTGCCCTGATGGGCTCCCGAAGGTTCCGATTGGGGTTCGGGCCCACCCGATGGGCCCCTGGGCCCGACCGATCGGCCAACGCCGTGCACCCGCGGGCCCTGACGGGGCCCGCGCGGGGCCCAGCTGGGCCCCCGAGGGTTCCGATGGGGCTTCGGGCCCACCCGATGGGCCCCTGGGCCAGACCGATCGGCCCACGCCACGCACCCGCGGGCCCCGACGGGGCCCGCGCGGGGCCCAGCTGGGCCCCCGAGGGTTCTGATGGGGCTTCGGGCCCACCCGATGGGCCCCTGGGCCAGACCGATCGGCCCACGCCACGCACCCGCGGGCCCCGACGGGGCCCGCGCGGGCCCCCGAAGGTTCCGATGGGGCTTCGGAGGCCAGCGCGGCCCCGCCCCGATCGATCCAACGGGCCTGGCGCGGCCCGTCGCGCTTCGATCAATTAGTCGTGCCACTTGGGGCCCGACGAGGCCCTATATATAAGCCCGCGACATTGGACCCGCGGGGTCCTCGGCTGGGGGCCCCGAGGGCCCTCGAGGGCATGGGGCCCTTGGCGGCCCCCCCGACAGACCCGAGGGTAGGCGTTCTTGTTCGGCGTGGCCATAGAAGTCATGTCCGCGGCCGAGTACGGATGCAACGCTGGCGCCCTGCAGGGGGCCCAGGTGCACCTGTGCGGCGGGTCCGTCTCTTTGCCGCATGCGCCGTGCACTCGCGCGCGTGCGCGCACGCCTTGATCCATGCGCACATATACATACATACGTACTCACGCACAAACAAACACATACACATATATACATATACATACGCTTCTGCATACATACATACATACATACATACATACATACGTATACACATGCATACATACATATCTACATGCATACATACATACATACATACGTACATACATACACACATGCACACATACACACATACATGCATAAGTGTACATACATGCATTATAAATGCACATACGCACATGTCCTATGCATACACAGATGTGTGTACATACGCAATGTGTAAATTCTACATGGGCCCCGCCGCGCCCCCCACCCACCCCCTGGTCAATTGGATGGGGTGGGCGACAACGACGAGGCACCGACGACGAACGCCGACGTGGTCGTCGACGGCGACGGCGTCGACGATGCGACTCGATACCCACAGGCAGGGTGTGGGAATGCATGCGCTTGGCGGGGGCGCCGCGCCTTGCTGCTGGGGGTGGGTGGGCGATCCCATTCGCGAGGCTCGCGAAATTCATGTGCGGATCCAGCGGGGGTGGGTGGGGTTGCTGGGTGGTCCTATGCATATGCATTGGGGGTGGGGGGGTGGGCGGGGGGCGTGCAACCCAGGATTGCGAGCAGCCCTTCCCGTGTAGCACAAGATGGTATGCGTTTATCCAGATATGCACTTGGAAACATCATGATCTTATGATGCATGTGGGCACACCACACATGATTGCCACCACACGTTTAAATGCACACCAGCCCATGCATGAATCTCTCTCTCTCTCTCTATATATATATATATATATATATATGAGCACGCGTACGCACAGGCAGTGCAAACCACGTCTAATTGCACGTGGGTCCGTGGCTCCCCCGTAGCGCGAGAGATGGCACCGCAACTTCCCAGGGAGACGCACACTCCTCCCTCTTGGTATCGCAACTGCTAGTCGATGCGTCCTCCCTCATGCAACCCCTTTCGCCTGCAGCCTCGAGGACCAGATTGCAGCGTTGGAGGGGCCCCGCGCGGTCGATCTGGAAAGGCCATGGCGAGCAGCCAGCTGATGAGATGGTGCCAGCATGCGGAGCTCACGGACATGAGTTGCGAGCAATATCCACATTCATCCTATAGCTCCGCACATCGGTCGACCCACCAGCAACCCCTCAACAACTCACGCGCATGTGCACATCTGCAGCTAACTCACGAGAGTACTTGCAGGTCACCTCATGTGTCCTCCTTCACCCGTCCTACTCCTCCTCCTCCTCCCCCTCCTCCTCCTCCTCCTCCTCCTCCTCCTCCTCCTCCTCCCCCCCTATCGCATTTCCTATTGCTGACCTCGTTGCTCCTCCTTACCTCCGCATCGGTCGTCCGTCGGCCAACGAATCTCTCGGTCGCCCGTCGGCCAACGAATCTCGATCGATATGTCGCTTCTTGTTGCTGGGTGCCAGCGCGCCTCGAGAGATCTTGATCTCTCGACTTCCCTCAAGAAAGAATGCCACGAACCCTTCCCCTGTCGAAGGGCTCGTGGGCGTCGAAGCGCGCGGCCGCGCCCACTCACCTGGGCAGCAGGGGCATCCAGCGTGTAGAGTCCGTCCCGAGTCGATGTGTGTGTACATGCCTAGTGCGTGCAATCACTATGTATGTACATGCATCTATGTTTGCATGTATATATATATACATATGTATAAATGTGCATACATAGATGCTTGTACAGACATAGCGATTGCAAGCATTATGTGTAGATGCACATCTAACTCCGTAAGCGTGTACACGCACACATCTATTGATAGCAACACTTATCATCCCTCAGCTTCCCCGCCCGTTCACGGTACCGCATCCTTATGATGCCCGATGGGTGTTCCATCATAGCCATCATCATCGTCAAATCGTGAGCATCATCATCAGCATCAGCATCATCATCAACATCTCCATCACCATCACCATCGCCGCCGTCATCACATGATCACCGCCGTCGTCAACTTCATCATCGTCATCATCATCGTCATCATCATCATCATCATCATCATCGTGCTCATCATTGTCATCATCAACGTATTCGTCATCATCATCAGCAGCAAACGCTGCATTATCATCATCATGTTAAGCATCACCATCAGCATCACCGTCGTTATTCCATTCCGTCGTCGTCACCCGCATCATCGTCATTGTCATCACCAATACCACCATCAACATCACCACCGTAATATTCGCCGTCATCAGCATACTTATCAGCATCGTCATCACCATCGTTGCCATCATCATTAACATCATCATCGCCATCGCCATCGCCATCGTCACCACCATCAGCATCAATGAGATCATCACCACCATCATCGACACACTTACCATATTCGTCATCAGCAGCATCATCATCATGATCATCATCATGATCATCATCATGATCATCACCATCAGCATCATCAGCATCATAAACATCGTCACTACATCAGCTCACTCCCTCCATGGCATGTTCATCCAACCTTCAGCCCGAGTTGCCAAGTCGAACTACGACTTCATGTCGGCGAAGATCTGGCACTTGATCGCCTTGATCTTGTCTTTGTCGATCGTCCTCTCCTTGACGATCTGATTGAAGATGCTCCTGATGAGCTTGTCGCTGAGCTCGCGGCGGTCGGTCTTCGTCACCAGAACCTCCGAGAAGGTCCTGTCGCCAACCTGCACGAGCTGCAGCCACTTCGGAGCGTCGGACGAACGCTGGTACGCCAGCGTGCTGTAGCCCTCGCTGTCGCGGCGCAGGTACTTGATCCTGGCCATCTCGCCGCCGTCCGTCTGGAAGCACGCGTGCGTGGGATCCTCATCCTCGATCTGCGTGACCACCTCCTCCTCAGCTGCAACTTCATCGGCTGCGCCTTCCTCGGCCTCCTCCTCTTCCTCCTTCTCCTCCTCCTCCTCCTCCTCCTCGGCCTCAGCGGCCTCCTCCTCGCCCTCCTCTGCGTCCTCTGCGCCCTCTGGGCCAGCACCCTCCTCTGCGCAGTCTGCGCCGTCGTCCTCCTCCTTGGCCTTCTTGGCGGGCGAGGCGGCCGCCGGCCTCTTGGCGGCTGGCCTCTTGGTGACCTGCTGCTTGGCGACGGGCACCTTCTTGGCGACGGGCACTTTCTTGGCGACGGGCACCTTCTTGGCGACGGGCACCTCCTTCTTGGCGACGGGCACCTCCTTCTTGGCGACTGGCACCTCCTTCTTGGCGACGGGCACCTCCTTCTTGGCGACGGGCGCCTCCTTGGCGACGGGCACCTCCTTCTTGGCGTCGGGCACCTCCTTCTTGGCGTCGGGCACCTCCTTCTTAGCGACGGGCACCTCCTTCTTCTTGGCGTCGGGCACCTCCTTCTTCTTGGCGACGGGCACCTCCTTCTTATCCTTCTTCCCCAGGCCCACAGGGATCGCCACCAGTTCATCATGATCCTGCGTCTCGGCATCCTCGACCTTCACCAGCTTCTTCTTCTTCGTGGACTTCTTTTTCTTCTTCTCCTTTTTGGGCCGCTTGCGCATCGTGATGCCCTTGATCGTCCTCAAGAACGGGATGCGGCCATTCGGACTCGACGCTGTGCACGGGGCCATCCATGCGCTGTCGGCCTGGGCGTTCGTATTCGAGATCTGGGTGTCATCCTCGATGTCCGCGTCGATCTGCTGGGTGTCATCCTCGAGCGCCGCGTCGATCTGCTGCGTGTCATCCTCGAGCGCCGCGTCGATCTGCTGGGTGTCATCCTCGATGGCCGCGTCGATCTGGGCGTCATCCTCGAGGGCCGCGTCGGCGTCGACCTGGGTGTCATCCTCGAGGGCCGCGTCGACGATCTGGGTGCCATCCTCGAGGGCCGCGTCGACGATCTTGGTGCCATCCTCCCCCGCGTCGACGATCTGGGTGCCATCCTCGAGGGCCGCGACGATCTGGGTGCCATCCTAGACGGGACTCGAGTGATCAACCTTTCGAGCGATGGGGCTACCCATCATCCGAAGGGATGGCCACTCGATCGAGGCCTCGCATTGCGGGGGGCAGGGGAGTCGCGAGGGAGGAGCGTGATCCTAATGACCCCCGCCCTCCTCCCGCTTCTTCCCTCCGATCTCTGAGGATCACTCGGCCCCCGCCCACGTGACCCCTTGCAATCCTCGATCATCTTCTGGTCGACTGCATCGTCTTCAGGCATCTCCAGGGACTGGCGGAGGTGCTCGCCGAGCACACTGTCGTCTACACTCTCGACTTCGTCACCGTCGGAGACTTCGACCTGCAGCTGATCACGTGCGCAATCGCAGTCCCGTTGACAACCAGTCCCCAAGGTCGGTCCCTGCAGGATCAGCCTCAGGGCCCCATGGCCTCCCAGAAGATGCGGAATCCAACGTGCAGTGCATGAGCACACATATTCATAAACTATACGTTGGATTCCGCAGGTGTAGTTTTTCTTAAGAGCATATACGTGTATATACATACATATCTACATGCCTACATACATACATACATACATACATACATACATACATACATACTTTCTCACCTAGCTATAACGTTCACATGCGTACATACATATATACACATATTTATATACATCATACAACTAAGTAAGCATGCTGATACTTGAATGCTTAGCGTACGCACGTGCGCTCCCACCCGGCCTGCGTGTCCATCTGCTCCATCGTCGCCAGGAGGGCCCTCTGCCAGTGAACGAAGCCGATGCGCAGCGCCCTGCACTGCAAAAACCTGGCTGGGCACCCCGCGGGCTTGATTGGGGGGAGGGGCACTTGACGCAGGGATGGGCGGGGGGGGATAGGAAGGGGGTCAAGGAGGAGGAGGGAATCGAGAGCAGACCACAATCTTAACATGTGCGCAGGTCTTCTCCCCTTCAGGATGCCCCCTTCCTCCTCGAGCCCCTCCCCTTGCCCCGACTACGGTTGTGCATTCTTATTCCATGTGTGTATGTATGTATGTACGGATGTATAGATATATATATGTGTACATGTATACATGTATATGTATGCATGCATGTATACATGCACTTGCACATACGAATGCACACGTACAACGAAATCCGACTACATTGACATCGAGTTATATATACAACTACACCTACGTCTGTACACATATACATGTACATCGAGATATCCAGTTGCATAGACTTTACCGCATACATGCATTCACTTGAACATGTATATATATACATATATATATATACTTATGCAAACAACCGTGCCCCCAGCCCCCCGTGAGCACAGATCTACACATATAGCCATATATGTGTATAGTCGGGCACGCGTTGTGTCATGACCATCAGATATATAATGTATATACACTAAGTTAACATACAACACGTGCCCGAACTATAGTTTTCATATTGGTGAGCCTGTGCCCTGCCAGCACGTTGCTGGTCGGCTTCCTGCCCTTCTGCTCGCGGTACTGGTCCACGAACTTGGCGTGGTACATCTCGTCCCAGACCGCCTCTGCGCTCGCTGCGTCGATTGATCGATCGAGGATCGAGGACTAGGTCGATCCTCGATCGATCGATCGAGGATCGTTGGCTCGAGAATCGACGACTAGGATCGAGGGGCTGGCCGAGGGGGCCGAGGACCCAGACGGGGCCTAGGGGAGTCGAGGTGCCGATCGAGAATCGAGGGAGGTCGGAGGGGGGGGGGGTCGAGAAGAGGGGGCGAGTTTGGATTCGAGTGATCTCTGTTTGTTTGGTTCTCGCTCGCTCTCGCTCTCTCTCGCTCCCTCTCTCTCTCTCTCTCTCTCTCTCTCTCTCTCTCTCTCTCTCTCACATCTTTCTCTCTCTCTATCTCTCTCACGAGACTCCCCCCCCCATACCCTCTTTCCTCCTCGATAGAGTTAGATCTCCCTTAACCTCCCGAAACCCGCCTCTCTTGAAACACAGTTCCTGTAAACATTCCCTCTGTACCCTCCCTCAAGTTATCCATTACCGCCGGCCAAATTCCTTGACCCCCCCAATACTTCCCTCCCTGATAAGCTGCCTCACTCCAACCAAACTCCTCCACCTATTATTCCGACTCCTAGATAGTATTTTTCGCGCCTAAGTTTATCTCTTTCTCTCGCTCTCGATCGATCGCTTCTCTCTCTCTCATCTCTCTCTCGACTGTTGCTGTTTCTCATTCGACTCTCTCTCTCTCTCTCTCTCTCTCTCTCTCTCCGTGTGTAATTCCCCGATCCACCCGTCGCGCCTCCATCCTCTTCTGGCTGATGCGCATGTCGCCCGCGAAGTCCTGCTTAGCCTTGAACGTGGCGTCGACCATCTCCCGCCGACGTCGGGGAGGACGACGGCGGTCGACGACGATGACGGCACAATCATCACCATCACCACCACCACCACCATCAATCATCATCATCACCTACCACCAAACATCACCGTCAGCTTCAAGATCATCATCAGTAACACCCTAGCATCATCATCAGCATAAAAGACAACACACCATCATTACAGAGAAATTAGAATAAAAATGTATATAACCTATTCATATACATCATTAAACCGTCATCAGCGTAAGCCATTTAACGTACATCGTTTAAAAGGACGATCGCTCTAGGAAGCGCTCGCATCATCATCAGTATCATCAGCATCAGCATCACCATCACCATCATCAGAATCGTCGCACCTGCCATCAGCATCACCACCTCCATCGCCATCATAATCACCACCATCAACATCATCATGGGCACCCTCCTCCTCCCCCTCCTCCTCCTCCTCTTCCTCCTCCTCCCTCGCGTCCTCCTTCTCCCCGTCCTCCTCTGACGCTGGTCAGTCCGATGATCATCATCATCAGCATTATTGTCATCATCGTCATCGTCATCGTCATCATCATCATCATCATCATCATCAGCATCGCCCCCTCCCCCTGACCATATACTGCTCTGGGATCGGGCGGCTGCCGCTCTTCGGCGGCGAGTAGGCGCTCCAGTTCGGGATCCCTTTGAAACCTGGGCTCGAGCGGCCCCCGATCGATCGCCCCTGCCTGGATCGATCTTTCTGTCATATCGCTCCTCCCCACGATCCTCGAGCGGGTGGATCGATCGATCCTCGAGCGGGCGGATCGATCGATCTTCGACCCCTTCGATCCTCGATCCTCGATCGAGGATCGACTGGGTCGAAGATCCAAGGGCCGAGGGATCGCGGAGGACCGATGAGAATAACGACCTTCGAATGGGGTGGCGGGGAGGGAGGGGGGGGTGGGGGCGATGAAGTTAGATCGATCCAGGCAGGGGCGATCGATCGATGCACCGCGGCGCCTGGCAGCTTCGGCACGTCTGGGTCGTCGTCCTGCACTGCCAGGGCCTCGCGCGGGGGGGGGGCGGGGGAACCCGACCTTAGCTCTTCCAACCCGCTCGATCTCGGGAATATGGGTGGGTGGGATCCCATGGACTAGTGCATCCTTTTCTGGATCGGGATCGTTTCTGGATGAGCTGGTGGGCTGGATGGTTTCTGGATGGGCTGGTGGAATTTGCCCGCCCGCGCCTGGGCACACCTTTGGATGTCGATCTCCGCCGTCGGCCCGCGGCGGAGGCCACGGCTGGGCTCCATGGCGGCGCTACAGGCGGGAAGAGGGTGGGAGGACCCGAGGTCGGGCTATAGACCACGACGGGTGGGAGGAGGGGGACGAGGAGAAGGAGGAGGAGGAGGAGGAAAAGGAGGAACACGAGGAATAGGAAGACGATGAGGACGAGGAGGACCGAGAAAAGGGGAACGCATTCGCGATGCATCCCCCCGAGGAGGAGGAGGAGGAGGAGGAGGAGGTGGAGGAGGCGGAGGAGGAGGAGGAGGAGGAGGAGGAGGAACCTCCCCTCATCCGCCCGCCTGCGTCGCGCGCCTGGCGCGCGCGGGCTGGCACCCTCGAGCCGCGCGCTGCGCGCGGCGAGTCGCGGGCCCCGGATCCTGCGTCATTTTTCGACCCAGATCGATATTTTTGAGGGTCCCTGAGCCCGCGGCGAATCACGGTTGGAGTCCTGGATCCTGCGTCATTTTTTGACCCAGATCGATGCATTCGAGGGTCCCTGGGCCCTGTGAAAATGGTTGCTCCGCAACCTGGCCCTGCCCTCTCCAGTACTGGGCATACACACAGATTTATATATATGTATACACATGCATACATACATACATTCATACAAACATACATACATTCATATACATACATACATACATACATACATTCATACATGCACAATGATTGGCGACGTTCTTGCATACACGCGCGCGAACCTAAATTGTGTGTACATAATTAGGTATAGCTAAATGGGTGTGTCGCACATATGCATGTCTGTACTGTTTTTAGTGTCGGTCAGGGAACATCAGGAAATTGAGCCATCCTGACATTAGCCTGACGAGGGACCCAACCATATGCAGGTGCGAGTACCGCAATAGTGATTCATTTTTTCGGTGGCGATCCCTATGAGGCAACGAACCGTGCTAGGGGCGTGCCGACATGAGTGGCGTGGTACACAAAGTGAACGAAAACGATTGATCTGAGTACGTAGGGAGACTGAGCGCGTGTGAATCTGCGCGCGTGCGTCTGACTGTGAATGATCTGCGTGCGAGCGAGTCTACGTGCATGAATGCGAATATGACAAAGCGTGGTGCAAATGTGTATGAATGCCAATAGTTTGACAACGTCTGCCTCTGAATACTCGTGACGCTGGGCGTGGCCGCCGCAAGGAGCTTCCCCGGGACTCCCCGACGGCATCGCCCGCGCGCCGCGACGCCAATGTCGGCGCGCCCCCCCCGCGAGGATCGCGCCCGCTTCCTCCCCTTCCTTTACTCCCTCTTTGCCCGCGCACTCAAAAGTCCAAGGCTGCGGGCGCAGCGCAGCGCGGAGTCCCCGCGACGCGCGCAGGTCACCCCGGAGGGGTCCCAGCGACGCGCGCGGGTCGTCCACTG